ATACAAATCCAATTTACAAAAAGAAAGTCCTAAACCCGAATCTAACTTATGAAAATTTTCTTTTGTTTGAAAAAGCTACACAACACTTTATATAAATCATATACCCAAAATCACATAAAATTTCATATAAATCATTTACCAAAAAAAAATCTTTTGACACCTAAGACAATCAAGTGCTTCTATGTTTGGTGTGGGGTTAACATGTGGAAGTTTCTCAATGAATAGGCATTATAATGCCCTCCATCAAGAGACTTTCACAAAACAAAATCACAAAATTTCTCAACGCAAGACAGTTAACGAAACTTTAACATAAAGCCATTTATAAATCTTTCCAATTACGGAGCAAATCACAAGTCTCCGTGATATAAAACAAATCATAAATCTTTCCAATATAAAACGAGTCTAAAGCCAATCATAAATCTTTTGAAATAAGCAAACCAAAGTCTTTTCCAACATAGGGCAACCCATAAAACTTTCATATGATGCGAACTCATCAATAATTTACATACAGAAACTTTCACGATTCATATAACCAACTTAGTAAGAAAGCACTCAAGTATATATACAGAAAAGAGAACCAGAGGAATGCTTATACTAATGAAATCACAAAGACAGCAATATAATACATTACATGAAGCGCATGCCAAAATTGTCTTTCTCAAATCTACCATGGTTGTGACCATTAAGCAATATACATTAAAAAAAGAAAAAAAAAAGAAGAATAAAGTTATACTTTTCCAAAATCAAGTGATGAACAAATATTTCAATCTAATTTGCAATCATAGGAAAGAAAATTTGATGCTATATCACTCCTTATAATATCCTGCTAACATGAAGCAAAGTCACAGATCTTTTGATATAATATAAATCGTAAAAGCCTCTAGGTCACAAAATGATTCATGATATCCCTTGACGAATTCTTATTCTTTATGTTACATGCCGCCGAATATTTAAGAGAACACAATGAAATTTCACCATTTTATTTCAATCCATCTTGAGCCAAATACAAATAAGAAGAAGGAGATTTTGGAGCTAATTCACTTCTCTGAAATGTTAGAAGCAATGCCCCAATCATAATATGAATCACTTTCCAACAACTTCTATTTGATGCGAAATATTGTTCCCATTTCCATTTCTCCAATCACCACATGAGACTAAGTAAGAAAATGAGGCGCGGCTCACATGAACCCTACTCAGACGACTCAAGAAATCCTCCAACACATACACTTCTCTTTTATTCCAACATTCACAAAATATTTCAAACGACTGCTAGCTTCTTCAAACAAATGCAAATGAACACCATGACATCTTCCCTTTCATAAAATATGATATCAAACAATCTAAATATTCTTTTCTCCAAAACTCGTAACACCAAGTGATAAATAGAATGTAGAAAGATACTTAAAAAAAGTAAATAAAACTTCAAACTCATAACAAATTGCCACCTAGAATTCAACAAAAGGTCTCAAACTCTTTGATATAAAATATATCGCAAAACTTTTCAATTATAAAATCACTTAAGGAACTCTCCAACATAAAGCAAATCACAAATTTGTTATCATTTGCAGCTTTAACTCAAAAATTTTCTCCAAAAGATTCTCCTTTCTCAACCCGTGGCAATGAGATCATCTACACATGAAACCTTAAAGCACGACAATGTAATAAATAACATCTCGCAAATATATGCGCACCCCTTTTCATTTGCGATAAATAATCACTTGTAGGATAAAAAAAAAAACTACATGTAAATTTCTCTAACCGTCGAGCTTCATCCAATGTATGTATGAATGTACATAAGCACCCTATCATAATATAATTACTTCCTTTAGAATTTGACATGCTTCTAATCAAATATAAATTATACGAGCACATGAGTAAGTTGACTAGACATGCTTCATGACAACGGTTTAAGAAAATCGATTCATAAAAATACCCCATAATTTCTCAAAAGAGGTTGAATTTATTTGAACATAAACCTTCATATGTTTCTTCAATCATATACAAATCATACAATAATTGTGGCAATAATTTAAGAAAATTTCATAGCTAATGAGAAGAGGTGGAGAATGAATGATAAGCTTAACGCATCACTGAATCTCTTTAAGTATAAAGTTCTACTTAAGCATCTCTGCACAATAGATACATAGAATTAACTATAAGACTTCACACATCATGCTCCATACTCCACATTGCAATAAATTATGGCGACTTCATTAACCCAACAAGATGTAAAGCCTCAACTCAAACAAAACCTTACAACCTTTGTCTACACCTTGTAAAATTATTCGTTCAAGAGAAAGTGTCTACGAGAAAAAGGTTTCGGCACAAGCAAAGCTAATGATTATCATGTCATTTTACTAAGACATTTTGTCAAGCAACTAGCATGCAACAAGACAAAGCCTCATAGAACAAATTGATGCAAGGATTTTTTTTTTTAACATCTCATGTAACTATGCTGGAGAAAACAAACCAATAAATCATTGAGCACATTTCATCATCGCATTACTTACAGTAGGGAACAATTAACAGAAAATTTTCATTACTGATTGCTTCCAACCACGAGAATAAGGAGAAAACAAGTTACAGCCAATCTCGTCCTTTATGTTTTGTGAATCATGAGAAATACTTAACACACCATTACACTTAACTGAAAACAAACTTTTACATGAGGCATAAAATATATCACGGGCATTCGTGCTAACAGAACCTCTAAAATGCATATTGGGAGAAGTTTAGATGAATAGATCTCCTCATACAAACTTCCAAATAAAGTTTAGTGAAAGAATGAAAGAAAGTAAAGAGAGATCAGTAGAAGACAAAAGATGGAGACGAAGTAAGAGCAAAGAAGAAGAAAGAAGGAGAAGAAGGAAAGGAGAAGAAGAAGAAAAGGAAATCACCTGCCCTAGGGAAGAAGTAGAGGCTTCGGGTTGCACAAGAGAGGCCGACGAATCCAGTGTCGTGTTCGGCCCTGGGCATGCGAATGTGGTCGGACTTGGAGGAATGACACGGGAGCAGATCCGTCCAGGAAGGAGATCTGGACACGCTCAGGCGACGTCGGATTCCGCTCGGGTATGCGAAGTCGGCTGGGAGATGGAGGTCGGTCCCGGCGTCGGGCTTGGCTGGGTCGTGCGAATGGGGCGGAGGGAGAGAAGAGCGACTTCAGCTCTTCTTGTTCCAAACGAGAGAGAGAGAACGAGAGCGGGGAGGGAGTTCCGATCTCCAGGAGACAGAGGAGCGGGAGGTAGGGGGCTGCTTGTCTTGCGAACCAGAGGGAGGAAGCTCTGGAGAGAGTGCTCAGGCTTGGCCTTGTGCGAATGGAGAAGAGAACGCCAGAGGGAGACTTCCGCCCCTCCTGTTTTTGCCAACCGAGAGCGTCGGGAGAGGGGGAGAGGGGGAGAGC